ATGCTATATGACAAAGCTATACAATATTCTGTTAACACAAAAAATAATTAATTATATTTTGTATCTTTATACAGACAGTAGTCCTGACTACTGATGTACTTATATGCAAGTTTAGCTATCTTATATTTGCCTGTTTTATATTTCTAAAAAAACTCAATCAAATATATAATATTAATACTCAATCTTGGATTACAATATATTAGGCTAATATATACTAAATAGATAAAAAATATAAAAAACTAATTAAAAAAACTAATTTAATAAAAGATATTTGAGAAGTTGCAGAATCCAATCTTATCTTGAAAGAAGAACTTATAAAGAGTATTCAGAAACTAATTAGTCTTGTTTGTAAAGTGTTTAAACAACAATTTTTAAAAGGTATGCTATTTAAAACGTTTGATGCTGCAATAGATGATGATATTAAACAATTCTGGGAAAGCATCTATCTACTTAATGATACTGTAATATATAATAATTATAGAATAAAAAATCTCAATTAACAGGTAAAACATACTAATATTATATTAAGTAAAAATATAAATAAGTAATACTATTCTTCATCGAAGCCATGCTTGAAAGAATTTTTTGACTACTGCTACATTATGAGGCATTATTTTTTTACAATAAAAAAATGTGGCGAAAATACTTATTTAATTTGCCAACTTCTCTAATGTTCACATAAGATCTTTACCCAAATTCATCATCTTTCTAATCTGATTCCTGGTAAAGACTTATATTATAAGCCTTTTGAAGTGCTTTATAGTATAACTATAACAGAAAAATACAGACTAGTAATTGGACCTGTCACAAAAAATACCACCCAGGTCACCCACGGGTGAATCTATAAGCCACTTGGATAGAAACTGGGTAGGTTAAAAAAGCAACCTATTAGGTAGACTTATAAGTTACTTAGATGAAAATAAATTTTTCACTATTATGCATACCTGTATATACAAATATATTTTTAAGTTATAGTTATATTTTTGATATACAGTTTGTTTTAAAAGTTTAGTATCAAAAATAAAATAGTAATTTTTTTAGATTAGATAGAAATTTACTATAAATTCATTGTTTATTATGCTTGATATGTAAAAATGCAAAAGTAATTCTTAAACATCCTTTATTAATGATAAATTTTTAAATAAAAAAAGATAGATTGTATAATAATATTTAAAAATTTGCCTTCAATCCATTTTTGAAAAGTTATTTTTTTTAAAAAAAAGCAATTAATATATATATAAATTCATATTTGAATTGAAGTCTTGTACAAAAGATCATAGGTCATCCGTCAGGTGATCTACCTATTTCTATCTGAGTAGCCAAAACTCCACATGGGTCTAATCACTAATACAGACTTTCATATCAAGAACAAATACCTATTGCTAAGTTTAATAAAAAAAGAAAAAGAAAAAAAGAAAAAGTAAACCACTTAATACCTTTTTACCCATGTCAATATATGCTAGAAATGTTGGAGTTATAGTTATTTGCAGTGAATATAATAAACCAAAATTTCTATTCAGTGTAAAAAAACTAAATAAAAAAGATTATCAAATGCTTGTTCAATTTCTAGATAATATCTTGTATATATATAGAACTATATTCAACAATTATCAACTACTATATTGACTGGGCTAAACTGCAAAGTAAATGAATATTTTGATGAATATAGCGATAGTAATGATGAAAAGAGTTCAGTTGCAGGTCCTAGCCAGTTATATCAAGAATATAAGAGTAATGAAAACAGTAACAATGCATAAAGTAATCAAAGTGATCAAAGTGATCAAAGTGATCAAAGTAACCAAAATAATGATGAAATTAATAAAGTGGATGATTTAAAACATAAAAAGAATGAGGAGAGGAATAATAATTCTATCCAAAATCTTTAAACATGTCTTTATTAATGACTTGAATCTGCGATTCCCTATTAAGAAGCCATATTACTCTGCAAAGATCTATCTGGCAGTTTGTTATCTTTGTGGAAGTCTTGAAGTTGAGCCAGCTATAACAAACACAAAACTAGTATGTGATAACTATGCTAGTATGAATAGCCTAACTAAGTATTATATTCAATAAGCTCAAAAGAACACAACGTAATTAGATCATTTCTGTTGTAAAGTGAAAATCATTATGATTAAATTTCTAACATAGTATTGTATTTAAAAGTATAAATATTTCAGAAATAAAGATCTAGCCTAATTAGTCTAAAAGTTTTACTATTAAATTTTCAGTTCTAGTTTTTTTGAACTATTACTTTTATGTATATTAAATATTATCTATATATGTATCTCTGTATAAAAACTATCTTTGCAACCTCTTATTGGTTATTAGTTATATAATATATGCATATAATTTAAATTTTTGATTTAATTCTTTTTGACTCAGCCAGGCTATATTATATTTTTATAAAATTTAAAGTTTTTAATTTAGCTTTTGTAACTTAGCCAAGTTATAAAAACCAAAAAATTAAACTCTCTCTAACAATCACTTATACCAAATTTTTACATCAAAAAAAGAGAAAAAATTTTGTTGAAGTAGTAAACGTGACTATTGAGTGGTTCTTGCAAAGGTCCAACTAGGGTTTTTTCTTGCTCCTGAGGACTTCTTTGACATATTCAGCATACAAACCAGAAGCATTAGAATACAAGATAACTGGCAAGTGGTGCCTTTGTATACAAAATTTTGGTATTGACGGACTTGGAGAAAAGTGGTCTTCACCGACAAAGCAACCGAGAGGCAATAAAGAAAAGAGGAACAACAAATGAGTTCTTTAATACACTCCTTGAAAATTTGAAGTACCTGATCTCAAAAACCTCTTTCCATATTCCCATCGGGTTTTTTGGTGTTTCTCTCGAAATTTTTTCCAAAAAGTGGGAAATTCGGCATACCCATTAAAAGATCGATATTTGTTTATACTACCATATTGGGATGAAGTTTGAGGATCACAGGGCTCCATACCTGGCAACCAACTAAGGACACGTGACGAGGAAAATATAAACAAAAAAGTCAACTGGTTGGTTTGTATCGATGGGTAAATAAGAAAATTTTCGTATTTCTCACATAACAAAAACTATTTTAATACCAAAGTAAAGCGAAGGTGGGAATTGTTTTGCGGAGTATTAAATAATTTTTAAATAAAACTGGTGTTTACCCAAGCATTCGGTGTATCCAGTGCTTCATGGTTTTTTGCTTTTTTCTTTTTGCTTTTCTCCATTTTATATTTTCTTTTTTTGTACTTGGTTTACGTATAGGTTTTGTAGATTTTTCACTTTTTTTTACTATTCTCTTATTAGTTTAGTTTTTTTTAGTATACTTGTCATTCTTGAGGCAAGAATTATGGAATCCTCTTGCTGGGATATTAAGAAGAGGAGGGTCTTAAGAAAATTAGCGGTCATGACAGGCGGCCGATCCTAGTTGATGATGTACCTATCTACTTCAGTTGCAGAAAGGATAGATGCGTAGACAAAATCAGCTATAGCAGGTTGAACATAAATGTCAATTAATAACCGAGTTAGTCAAAACTTGTAAGTTAGACGCTAAAGCTAGTGTTTTAGTTTAAGTAATCACATGAGGTGGGCCAATTGCGTTAAGATCTAATAAAGTTTTGGCATGACTGCCGAATTTATAAAAAAAAAAAAAAAAAAAACCAAAAAATTAACTTTGTTTGGCCTTATAGTAATAATATTTTTTTTTTAAGTGATCATGCTATATGCTCATGCTTTATTGATCATTAATTTAATCTGAAGAAAAAAAAATACATCTAAAGATATGAGTATGTAACTCACCCGATTACCTATATAGAATATCTAAATATTCATACACTTGTGTGTGACCTGCAAAAGATGATTTTAGTCTCTCTAGTTTAGTTCAACCTATATCAAGCCAACCCACCCAGTTCATCGATCTGGTTCACCAGCTCATCATGATCGCCTTCATTTCCAACCTTTTTTTCCTAGCCTCCTAGATAGAAGAATTCTACCAAAGAACAACAGAAAATTTACAAAAAATAAAAGAAATAAAAAAAAAGAAGAATAACTAAACTAAATAAAAACAAAAAAAACAAGCAAAAGAAAAAAAGAGAAAAGGAAAAAAAAAGATGGACATGATAGCACTATTTTTGCCTATATGAGGCTGCATAAATTATATAATATTATATGGAATAAAATCTAACCTAACACTATATATAATAAAAGAATTAGAAAATAAAATAAAAGAAAATGTCTAACATTAAAAAATTTTTACACATGATCCCTCTGATTTCTAATACACCATTATTGTTTGACAAAGCATAATCCAAATAAGCTTGTAGGAGATTTCATTTTGGTAGATGTGTCCTAATTTGAAAGGAGTAAACACTGCTGATCTTTTAGAGAGGGTATGCCAGTTTTCCCACTTTTTGGCCAAAATTTTTTAAAAAAATTCCAAAATAGTGAAAATATGGTGGAAGGTCTTTGGTTGCAGGTGCTTTCAAAACTTCTAAGGAGTGTGTTAAAATCTAAAACTTCTGTTGTTTCCCCTGTGCTCTTCTTTGAAGTAACTGCTTATGGTTTAAGAGATAGTTAGAATTAGAATTAGAACAATGCGGCTTCTATTAGCAAAATTTCACAAGAAGCATCCTTAATTAGGCCGCAAAAGTGGTTTTGTTTTTACCGTAATAAATTGAGTTTATTTTTTTCGGCAACAGAGATAATTTCGGCAGCCGAAAATGACTACAACAGTCAAAACATTTTCGGCTGCCGTAAATAATTACGGTAGCCGAAATAATTACGGCAGCCGAAAATAATTTCGGCATTTTGAAGTGGCATGACGAAAATATAAAAAATATCTGCATGCGTAATGCCGCAAATCCTTCCGCCCATGTACAGCTACATAAAACTAGAGTACATACAGTACTGCAGTATATCAAGTAATTCTTTTTTATATACAAAATTAATCATTCACGCTATGATAACGATATTTTACAGGACATTCAATTTTATGCAAAATGAGAATATGAACTAAAATTAAAACCGTTTGAGTAATATTCTGAGCTGTTCTTCATAGCTTAATGATTTACAATATTTATGTTCATCCTAATAATTCATCGAAAGATTAATAATAAATCAAAATTAATGTTTTGGGTAAACCTCAAATGATTTAAAAACAGTTTCACCCAAAATACTAGTCAGAGTATTTTATATACGTTACCTCTTTTACTCCGGTATAACATCGTACTATGGGCTCACCTAAAGCGTCGGTTAGTGTGTTGTCTTCCTTTAATGCTTTCAATGTATCCATTAGACTTGCAGGCATTCTCTCAGTAACACCTTTTTCTATACGTTCTTCATTGCTTAGAGAAGCAGGATTGTCTGTTATTGAATTTTATAAAAAAAACTTCATATTATTACAATATATGGTATATATAATATTTAATTATATAATCTAATTTTCGTTTACCGAATATGGGATTAGTAGTAAGCTGCATTCCTTTATTGATTCCATCAACTCCTGAAGCAATAAGTGCAGAAAAGACCAAGTACGGGTTGGAAGTACCGTCTACAAATTTGTATTCGAAATGAACATCAAGATACTTTCCATTAGGACCAGTCTTTGGTCTATAACATACTCTGATTGGCGTTTCACTGCCATAAATTAACATTGAAGGAATTATAGAATAATTATTATACAGTGTGAAACATTATTTATATAAAAAAAATGCATGAATACTAACCGATTCTCAATACTCCAACAGATCCAAGTTCCAGCACAGCAGTTATCAACAATGCGCGTATAAGAAAGGTCTGTCGGCAAAGCAAAAGCACAAATTGCCTTTATGTGATGCAGCATACCAGCAATGAATGACCTCTCATAGGGAGATAGTCCTGAAGGGTGATCGTCAGCAATTTTCTGGGACTTTTCAATTTCTTTGAAAGATAAATGCACGTGTGCACTAGTTCCCACTTAATTAAGTTCATAACAAAATTTTACGTAAATACTAACTTAAAGAATTTCAAAAGTATGTAAACTTATTTATTGATTAAAAAAACAAAATATAAACCTTGTTCCTTAAAGGGTTTAGGTACAAACGTTGCTTTTACACCAGCTTGAGCGGCAACATCATATATTGTTTGACGTGTTACAACAACTTTGTCTGCTGCAATCAATGGACTTTCTGGTGTGGTGACGATTTCAAATTTGCCTAGTCCATCAGAATGAAATTGTTCGACTTCGATCCCTTGCTTTTGTAAAGACTCAACCATCCTATCCAGGATTTCAGATGAATTAGAGATATGAAAAGAACTAGCTGCCGCATAAACTGTATCATCAATGGGCATCGGAAGTATGGTATCTTTAAGTAAGACGAACTCAAATTCGGTTCCAATCAAAAAAGTGATACCAAGATCCTTACGGGCAGTTTCAATAATATTTTTAAGACAAGTTCTAGGGCAAAGTGGGAAAGCCAAAGAATTAGGTGAATTATCAATCTTTCCAAATTGAGGGTCTGCCGGTGTCAATTTATTTTCAAAGAAAACCTGGACATTTGCGTGTTTAGGATTATAAGGTAAATGTATGAGTGTACTAAGGTCAGGTTTCAACAATAATTCTCCAACTTCGTTGACACCAATATTTTCTGGAAGTACATCTCCATAATAAGGGAAAGCTGTGTTTGCCCGCATATTTGTCAGCCCACTGTTAATAATATAGTTTTGGAAACGATCAATGGGAACGATATGAAATCTATATTGATTAGAACATTCCATAAAGCCGATACGAACAAATTTCACACCCATTTTTTTTAATTTAACAATTCTTCGTTTTCCTGAAAGATCTTTATATTCTTTAAACAGTAATAAAATTATATCATTAACATTAACTGTTAAAAAGCAATAAAGGCTATTTTCTATTTGAAAATACCTTCACTATCGATCTGTTTTGGTGTTAATTTGAGTTTATATAATATATTGGAATTCTCGAACATAATTTGTTTGGCGACTTTTATTGTTTCTTCATATGAAAATTCACCATTTTCTACAGATTCCAATAAAACCTTAAAAATGACCATTGTTAGTCTTAAAATAATAACATTATCAAATGCAAATACTATAACTTATATTACCTTGTTTAAAGCCTCTCTTCCTTGAATTGCAGCGACATAGAAAGATTCTGGATGGTAACGACCATCTAATTTTTTTATAATTTTTTTAGAGTATATATAGTCAATTCTGGATATGACAAGCCTTTTCATAATAAACTCACTCTATAACGAACCTTTTTTTTTAATAAAATTTTTATAGAGTTGGTATAAAAAAAAATAGTAAAATATTCTATAGAATTTCTTTACTATAAGAACAGCCAGTTCGTTGTACTATTATAAATACCTGTACTAAATAATATTTTATTACTTGGACAAATCTCCAACTATTCAAGAATGAAAACACTTGTTATATGATAAATTTACTGTATAAAAGGTTTTATGAAATATGTATAAATTACCAGCTCACGTAAAATGGCTTGCTGACCAGATGTGGAAATTAAAGGAAAAACAAGACCTATGTCAACATACACATTGGAATATATTGAAGCAAGATATCCCGCCTGGCGGGTGTAAGGATACGCCGCATGCAAAAGAACAAACTTTGCATTTGGATATTTTTCAATCAAAGGTCTTAAAGGAAAGGATACATAGAATAATCGTATAAATATATATAATTGCTGATTTGAAAACGTTTGAATAAATCTACGGCATAAAATGTTCATACCGTAACAAAAGTGGATTAGATGTAATCAGATCAAGGTCAGAATCACCAAATCCTAGATCAATATAGTAAGATATTTATATATCTTTAATAATCGATAAGATTCTGTTTAAAGGCAAACATACAATATTTCTGTAGCGTGCCTGTATGAAATTGAATAGGAATATCGTGCTGGACAGCGATGTCGATTGCCAAGTTCAATATGTGATCAATTAGAACTTTATTAATAAACTTAGCAGATCCTTTCTTATCAGGTAATGACTCAAAATCCGAAATAAAGTTTCCTAATGCAACTGCAGTGGCTTCAGGATTTGGAACACAATTGATATTCAATCCTGACCTATAAGCAGCAATACTTTTGAAGGCCGCCACCGATTCAGATTTTGCATAAATTTCAAATTGCTTTTTCAATGATTCTTCGAATGCTGAGAAATTCAATACTTTTTGATTGGATGTTGCTAAATCATACAAGATCTTTTCTGCAATACTTTCGATTCTCACGATTCTTCGCACTACGTCAATTAATCCTACATGACTTTGCACATCCATAAGACCACCTAAAGCGTCAAGCCCATCATCCAAAAGTAAGGACTGTATGCCAGTATATTTAAAGCAAGTTTTACATATATCAATATATGACATTAAATCCCTCACTTGTTTGATATTATCTAAGGTTGGTGGACAATTATAAAATTCAGCAAGCTGGCGTACGCGTACACATCGTTTTAAAGCACTATTTTGAGGTGCTTTCGAAAAGCATATTTCCAATGGGCAGGTCAACGATGCATCAGATGTTAAAAGATTATGACAGTGATTGTCAATTAAAGGGAAAGTAGATACCATTTTGAGTAAAGCTTCACGATTATTGGCCATTATTCAGGTAAAATTGTAAGTTCCGTAATGATACGGAAAAAAAAAAAAAGGGCAAATGCAATGCTCTTGACTTCCTACCTAATGTATATTCCTGAAAAAGCAATCAAAAAAATTATACGTACGTAATCGTTAAATGAAGCTAAAAATAATTAGTTAATTCAGTAATTTATTGCAAATTCGTGCATATATCTTATTTTTTCATTCAACTGATACGTACGTACTGTACGTACGTATAATCTTTTATGATCAAGATTTCACTGAATAAGGAAAGGATTTTCGTGAAAAATTATAAGCATATATAGGGAGCGCATAGAAATTTACTATTTCCACTATATACGTATACATGACGAACATTGTTACAATAAATTACAAAATAGTAAATTTCCATGGTGAAATAGGCGTTCCCTATATAAATTATATGTAGTCGATATAATTGCATACCGTCAGACTTTTTTATGCATATAGACAATATACGCATTTAAGTCATAAGATCCATTTTTGCGTTAATAATTAAAAGTCAAAATTTTTTATACATTTAGAGAGTATATGCAATTAGAAAGGTTTGAAATAATTAGTATATACAGTAGTTTAGTACTCGACCACCAACAGTAGTTATCACGTGGTTAATGGCACGCAAAAAAATCGCATAATTTCGCATAATTACAGAGTTATGGGAAAGCATTAGCCACATAGTTTACCTCCATTTCGCATATTCCTACATGATGTACATAATCATGCATGCGCATGGCGTGCATATGATGTTTGCCCGATGCCATAATTATTATACATCGGATCAGTGGTGATTTGCAATCATTTCAGAAAATATCCTCCAAGATTATGATTTCAGTGTGCACTAATATTAATAAATTTTTAATTACATAGCATTCTAAGAATGTTCTAATCCATGAAGGAAAACCTCGTTTGGCTGATTTTGGTCTTTCAAAATCTCTTCTAGAATCAAAAGAAGGATATACATCAGAAATTCGTGGAGTACAGGCTTATGTTGATCCAAAGTTATTGAGAAAAAAAAATCATCGTCATAAGAAATCTTCTGACATTTATAGTTTCGGTGTGCTTATGTGGAAATATATACTCGTCGTATTCCATTCGCAAAAAGTGATCATGATGAAATACTTTCTTTGAAACTTTTTTTTGGCCTAAGAGAAGGACGAGAAATTAGAATGCCTATGGATTATATAAAAATATATGAAAAGTGTTGGATTCCAGATCCTATATTCAGACCTAAAATTCCTGACATATTAAATGATCTTAATAATCTAAAGCCAACGCCAACTTGTACGGCAGAGGATATTCAGTCAACAGGTTTGCGATGATATGAACAGCTGATAAGAATTATTCTCAATTGTATAAAGCAAAGAAATAATAAACTTTTTCTAATTTTAATTCATTATAGATCCACCATTACTACCTTCGGTAATTCAAGATCTATCTAATATACTTCCGGATTATATTAATAAAATGCAAGAAGATGCTACTGCACACATGCAACTACATCAACTCTCGACAGTAGATTTAGAACAGTCTATTAATTTTGATTCATTTTTACTATTATTCAAAAGAATAAATCAGCTTAAAAATGAGATATCTGACGATAATATACAACTCAATAAAAGAATGTGTGTAGTATTAAATCAATGCATTATCGACGCTGATTACAATGTTCAAACGCTCAATAATCGTAAAACAGATCAAGATACATTCACAACATTAGAGAATTATGTATTGTTTCAAATTTTTCTGCGAAATATTGAAAATATCAAAGACTTTACTGAAAATATTTCTCAAATAAGAGGGTTAAAATTTTTTATTCAAGTTACTGATTCAGGAATTTCATTTAAAAAATAAATATTTTGTATTGATAAAAGAATTTTGTGAATCAATAACATCTCTAAAATTTGAATCTCGGATAAACAAACAAATTAGTAACATTATTGGTGAGGTTGACGATTCGTTCAATGATATAGGAGAAACAATGAAGGTATTTATTTTCATAATAATTCCATCCTTAGAGATGTAATCTAAATATTATCTATTTTTCTAGTTTATTCAAGCATTTCAATGTCATGTTAAAGAAGTCAATTCCATAATTGACTTTGTCGACCAAATAAATATTAATATTGAGAATGTCAATGCTAATGACAACAATGATGATTTGTTTGATCACAAATCATTAGAATTTATAAAGGAGCTTAAAGATAATAACACTCAAGAAGCATACGATGGTAACATCACAATTATAAAGAGTATTTCGTATGTAAAGAAGGACATGTGCGTTCAGGCAGCACTTTTAAAAAGTTCAAATGGTTTAGCAAATATAACCAAACTTTATGGAATAATACAATCATTTAAATCAGTATATAAAGTCATAGAATGGTCTGAATATGGTAATTTAAAAATGTTCTACGAAAGATACAAACCTTTGAATCTTTCAATTAAGTTACAAATTGCGTTGGACATAAGTAGTATAAGTAGTGGATTAGTGTTTCTTTCTGCAGTGAAATTTTTACATCGTAATATTACATCTGAAAATATTTTGATTACAAATAATATGAAGGCCAAAATTACAAATTTTTTTCATAGTCGATTGATAACTGATGAATCAAGAAAGCTTAAGGAGAAGTCTTAACACTTACACTCAATCAAAACGTACTTACACTCAATCACAATCACAACGCACTTATACTCGATCACAACTTTCATACAGCTATGATAAATATGATATTAAGTCCGAAAATCATGAAGATGATTATGATTTTAAGTCTGAGAATTATAGGTAGGATTAAAAATTTAGTTACGGCCAAATTTACTGCTATCAACATCTCTGTCATTTATATACAGTATACAAACCTGAATGGCTTTACATTAAATCTATTCTGATTTAGTTTCGGAGTGGTTCTCTGGGAACTTTCAAATGAAAAAACTCCGTTCGATGGTTGTGATGATAATGAAATAAAAGATTTTATTCTTCGCTACGATAATGAAAAATGGAAATTCAATAATCCAATGCCAAAAAGATATATAGAGATCAGTAAACAAGGTAAATAGCAAATTTACCCTTATGTAATAATCCTTAATGCGATTATTAATTTTTTTTCTTCTTTAGCACTTGCACATGTACCAAATTATCGTCCAACAATATGCCACATGTTTACAGTTCTATATAATCTAGTAAATAATGGTGAAAAAGAGGCTCCAGAAGTGTTCGTTTCGGAAGCTTAAGAATGATTTTATTTCAATTTAAAAAAATTGGATTACAAGAAGATACTACGGTTAAGTCTCGCAAACTTATAGAAAAACATAAGCAGATTAAATGTATATTGTTGAAACTCCCAAAACCAAATTCTATAAAAAATTGATACCCCATTAAATCCGGTAGAAGATTAATCTATCAAGTCTATTTCTGCTATATAATCTAATAATGATTTTTTTCAACTTTGGTATTAATATAAAATCTGTTCACCGTGTATATCGGTTCTGAAAGATTTAAGTATATTCAAATATGTAAATATACAGATTATCTAATGCTATGAAACAAATCAATATTTTTACGGCATTTTTTTATTTAAACATATGGGAGCTAGAAGCATTAAATTTGAACGCCATATTTCAACATTTAAGGGTAACTAGCATCTAGGCACGCCCTTACATTCATTAACAACACATAAAGAACTTTTTTCTCAAACCTATTATAAGTTCGGTATAGGGTATATAGAAAATCATTATTTTTTTACTATAAGTTCGCTATAAACATTTGTATAAGTATATCTATATAAATTAATTAAACTAATATTTTAAATTTACAGTTTCAATTAATCAGAGCTTTGATATCAGATATATAGTTTTATATAGTTTTTTGTAGTTAAATTTTAATTGATCAATTCTTTATATGTGATCTTCGTGATACCTAAAAATAGATTACCCTAGTAGTCGATTTTGCATTAGTCGATAAAATCGGCTTAGCCGGCTTAGTCAGCCGATTTTTCAAAAAATCGACTTAGTCGGTTTTATTATAGGTTATTAAAAATTTAGGCCAGTTTATAGTAGAATTCGAAAAATTTCCAAAAAGAAAATCAACGAACGAGCAAGATTGAGACAAAATTTGAGGAAATCTCCGGTAACTTCCGAAGTTTAATCAAATAGAATTTAGAATAATCGACTCTGACTCCGGGCCGATGATTTACCTTTATCATCGCAGAATGCCACAGAAATCTAAAAAAGTAGTGCAGAATATCGCAGAATTCTATAAAAGTAGTGCA